AAAAATCATAAGGGAAATTAGTAATGGATGATAGGCTAAAAGAAAATATATAGTCGGTAATGTGTAGGTAGACGGTGGAAAAGAAATGTTCTAGTTGAGGACAACTAGGAGGTAGCGATGGCAGAGCGATCGGGCGATGCACACTGAGACTGGCGGAAAGAAGACACCCCCAACGGAAAAGAATTTGGAACGCTCGAATCGAGCAGAGCAGCAGTCAGTTCGACGTGTGGTGTACAACGAACAGGTCGTCATGAGCGTGAGCGTGTGTGCGGACTGCTTGGACAATAGGCATGTGACCGGTTCGCCGGCGTGCATGGCAAGGCGGCGGACGTGCAGAGGCTGTAATGCGGTCGGACATTTCGAGAGGAATTGTCCCGCACGCATCTGTTTCAGATGCGGCGGAGCGGGACATGTGCAGGCGGCATGCCCGACTCCGAGGGACATGCCCCCGGAATCGGAGGACGGACCGGTCGTCAACGAGGATCAGCCGGCAGAGGACGGTAGTGCGGGGCCGGTCGTCAGCGAAGATCAACCAGCGGAGCCGGCCGTCAGCGAAGACCAACCAGCGGAGGGCGGTCGTGCGGAAGCCAGCGAGGTTCGGACGGCAGAAGATGTGCAGGCGGTGCGACTGGCGGAACGCGTACTGGAGGAGTCAAGTGAGGACGAGGACGACGATGATCAGTTCTTCTGGGGGAGTCGCCCCTTCGACGAGCCGGAGGAGGAACGGCCGGCAGCGCAGCCGGTAGTAGAGGTCCGGCCACGTGAGGGCGAGACGCCGGCGATGACGGCACGGAGGGTCTGGAGTCAGAGAGTGACGTCCTCGGAGAGAGCGTTCCTCCCTCGAACTTCGGTACGGTCAACAGAGTTGTAGATACTCCTGAGGCCACTCGCGTGAAGTTGTAGTCGGAGCACCTACCTCTGGAGTCTGCCAGTTGTAAAGTTCGGAATTCGAACTCATTTTTACCGAGTTCTCCCGTGGTGATACGTATATTTTCTCTCGAACCAGAATCGGGAGGCAAGAGCTAGGTACCTATCTTCGTATGGAAAGTTATTGTAAGATTCAGAGGATATGACGAGTCATTTCTCTCCGCGGGATTCTGCCTGAACTCGTAGGTCAGGGTGTACTGGGGGAGAAAGTTTTTTCGTGGAGTTGAGCCGCTGTCTTTACTCGTGCATCTTCGCCGGAGCGTCCTCGGCTCTCTCGCACGGGCGAGAGGGGGACCCGGGGGCTTAGAGGACCTGTTACCATACATCAGCATCACGGATGGGGAGTCTGGCAGATGTATAAGATGTAAGGAGCTGCGCAAGCGATAAATTCCCCGCAGCCCCCAAGGATACGCCGCGCCATTGGTGATCTGGAGCGCCAACATACGAATAATCCGGATATTTCCGGAGCAGACTTTTTCTCATCTCGACAGAATACATGATAAACTTTATTCACTTCCCGGTCGCTTTCTCATAAGCTTCCCATGCTCTCACTGAGTAAATTCTCGCGCGATCACCCGGGTTTTCGTTCCTCGTCACCCCTCGCCCCACGATGACAATATCCGCTCCTCGACCGCTTATAGCTACTTCAGGAGAGACATATTGTTGTCCCTTCCCGTCGCCGCTCAGTTCGAAGTTGACACCCGGTGTGAACTGGATGAATTCGGGGGACTTGACGACGCGGCTCTGAGACACCGTGCCGATCACGAAATCCGCATTCGATTCAACCATGGAAGCGCATGCCTTCTTGTACGAGTCATCGGTTAGAGCTCCAGCGCTGCTCATCTCGGCAACGATAATACAGGCATTTTTCTCCGATGCAACCGACTTGAGACCCTGGATAACTCCAGCGCCGGGAACACCGTGGACAGTCACAATGTCAGCCCATTCGGAAATTTTGAAGACTCCCCCGCCGTATTGAGCTCGGACAGTTTCCCCGATATCGCCGAATTTGCGGTCCTCAAATAGTAAGAAGCTGTGTTCCTCTGATAATCTCTTCAGCTCTGGAATGACCTACGCAAGAACGGCAGGGTATTATACATATGGTAATCGATTTCGCGGAAGAATCGCAAGGGAGGATGAAGTGTTGCCTTACTCGGCCAAGTTTCTAGAATACTTTCGGATGCAATTCCCATGCCGGAACGAACCTTCTCGTAAACGAAATCACTGAGTTGGTCGACATGTGTTTTCACTGCGCAAACATAAGGCGCGACCTTCGAAGTTAGCTCGAGCAGTTCGGCTGTTGTTTCCACGTCGATGGCCACGCACAAGTTGGTCTTTTTCTTGTTGACGATATTCAGAAGTTTCGCACTCACAGGGTGTTTCGCGGTCCGAGCCCTCCTTCGAAGGAAGCGCGTTCTCCGACACCCACAGCAGCTGGCGTGAGCATCGGTTTCACCGTGCGTATGAACTCCCGGCTTCGTTGGGCCACATCGGCTTGGATGAGGTCTGGAAATACGAATTATAATCAGCAGGGTCGCGCCAGAGGACATAATGCATTCCGCTGCCCCCATCTTCCCTCTCGGAGTCGAGAATCTCCTCGAATCACTGTCAGTTTGACTCAGCGAAGGATTGCCGCGGGAGAGAGGAAGGAGGACAGCTGGATCTTGGTGAGCTTCTCCGGATGTCCAAGCCGAGATCATCAAATTGAATGACTATTCTTTCGAAATTACTGGAGTTGCCTCTCACTCACTTTCTACTTCCAAACGATCGATGATTTCTGAGAGTTTAAGAACGGGATGGAGATTTATACCGCGCTCCTCCAAGTACCCGCTCCCGCCTTGCTCTCTGTCGATGAGGACAATCGCGTCTGTCACCTGTGGATCCGAGAAGGACGCCTTAGACGATGAATTAATGCGATGACCTTGATGAGGCGGTATTTCCGGAGCGACCTATGAGTGCATGTTCGGAAGCAGGCAAGACTCACAGTGAGACCAGCGCTTTCAAGAACCTTGACTGTCTCCAGTATCGAAGAACCACTTGTCACTATATCCTCAATCACGAGAACTTTGTCACCTGAAGAGGGAATCGGCGTAGTCCAGAGGGGATCGACGGTAGAGGAGGATACAGAGCACCGAAGTTAGTGAGGATCGGTACACGAAACGAACCTGCGCGGTATTTTCCCTCTATTATCTGTTTTGTACCGTAAGCTTTCGCTTCTTTACGGCGCATCAGCATCGGTTGATGCGTTTTAGTGGATATGCACGTGGCGATCGGGAGCGCCGTGTACGGTACGCCGCAGAGGTGATCGAAGCGCAGATTCGCGGCCTTCAGGGTCTGCTCGACCTAGAAAAGGAGTCTGAATTGGATGACTCGTTCGAATGGACTCAGAATAAACATAGCCACCGGAGCGGCGCTTGACTTACGGCTTCGGCGATAGCTGTGAGAAATTTTGGATGAGAAACGCAGACTCGTATGTCCATGTATATAGGTGAAACGACTCCACTTTTGAGGGTAAAACTCCCAAACTTGACAGCCTCATATTTGAGTATATCGCGGATCAGTTGAGCCTTCAGATCGGAGCCGGATCCAGCCATGGCTTATCTCGGGAGCAACTCAAACCACGCGGAACGAACGCTGCCGGGCCGGTGCACTTCGTTCGAAGAGCGCAACAAACAAAAGCAGTTCTGTCTGCAGTTCATAACCTGCTTCAGCGGAGAGAGGCTGAGAGAGGAGACACTAGGGGCGCTCGATTCGGAATACTCCTCGATAGATCGCGCTTGCGAGTGATGAAATGATTGACAGTGAGGAGGCAATGTGTTCCTCATCATATTTCTTCGCTGAATTACATCCTTGTGCGGCAAGGGGGGACATCTTGATGGGACCGAGTAATAAACGCCACCACCTCAGGACGATGACTTCTATGAGTCCGAATCTTGACACAAACTTCATGAGCTAGAGAATGACGTATCCCACTAGATATACGGATTCTTGTACGAAATAATCCATTGAGAGCTTTTCTTAAAAAACGATCCTACGGTCACTCGACTGATCCGTCTTCTGGGTAAGACCGCCCCAGAACTCCTCTATAACGAATCGTCGGAAGATTGCGATGGACCCCATCGAATTCCAATTCATGTTTTTCGATGAACATCAATGTAAGGGGAATGACGTGCTCGAGAACCACAATATTTCCGATTCCATAGGGAAGCAGATGGAAACGCCCGGAGTCGCCTGTGAAATTTCGTCTCAGGCAAGGTCCGGAGAGACTCGATTTCCGGTTCCGAAAACACACTTACAACGTACCGCGACATGCTCCCATCTTGCTCCTACCAGGTCTTCATTCCTGCGACCTCCCTCGATCGGATTCGTTTTCGTCTTGCAGTTTTCTTGACACGTGACGTAAAACGTCATTGGTAGAGGACTGAGTTGTGGGTCTCACGGACGGTCGACCGCGGCCTCCGCAACGATTTCGAGCCCTGAATGATTATCGGAAAAATAATCGAATCCTTAAAACGTATCGATAACATGAGGAGCGACTGTTCGCACATGTCATCACAAGAAACTCTCAAAGAATTATTCAGCCATCGGTTTCACCATCAGAGTGGCTGTTGAAATGAATGACAGTGACGAAGGGGATTCTCAGTCCCAATCGCAATCCGACCCCTCATAACTCAATACTCCACCCTCATGAGTCAAAGAGACTTCCGACCCATTTCGCATCAGAACCCAAGCATTCACCCGGCCCGTCCATCTCGTTCGTCCCGTCTACTCATTCCCTTCGACAACATCCCTCCAGGCCCGAGAGTCTGTTCATCTTTTCTCCTGAATCCTTCCTTGGCTCTTGGCTCCTCCCGTTATTCGATAGCCAAATGGAGACCCGCGACGGACAAATGAATTGCGGACAAATGAAATCTCACTATTACCGGAATATCTGAGCATGTGTCCTATTCTACAGCCCTCTGGCTCCGAATTTCTCTCAAAACTAGTGCCGGCTCTCGGCTCGAGCGCAACCTCTGGGATGGCTCCTACGAATTCCTTCCCGACAGATCAGATTCACGGGAGCCGATTCTGATCCTATCCGAGGGAAGCCGCAGAACTCTCTCACCAGCGCTCAGAAAATCCTATCGAACTACTGTGGGAATGCGTTGCATTCCACTCCATCGCAGAAGGGAGGCGGAGGGCGCCGAAGGCCAAAGGCAACAACTTTGAATGAAGCCGCTGTCTATGCTCGTGCAGGATGCAAGGTTTTGGAGCAGTGCGGGACAAAGCTCAGAAACCATAATTTTGGTCGCCATTCAAACATTCGGACGACCCCGGAGTCCGGCCCCCGGAAACTCCCAGAGGCTATCATCATCTTCTCAGAATCACTTGAGCCGGGCTCGAGAACCAGAGCGCCGCCGACGCCCCCGCGGATAACGAAGACAGACGGTTCTCCGCTTGCTCGGAAAGTCAAATAGGGATCTTCGCTTCATACCATGGGAATTTCTGTGGATTTCTATTTGTTGGGAATAGAGATTTCAATTGGCACTAGCATTTCTTTTCATGTTTCTAATACCGAACTCGAGAAATCGCCCGGAAGCATTCCAGACGAGCGAGAGTTTATATGTAAGATAGTTGATCGAAACTGACGCCGCTAGCATGAATTCCCGAAGCCGAAGCTTTTCATGATCCAGAATTCGTAGAGCTCAGCTTCGACTTCTCTCCGCTCATCCACCGCCACTCTATTCGACCTCTTCGAGAGAGGCCTTTCGAGTACGATGCGGAATTCAACAACTTCAGAGTTGATGCATTTGGCCCTCGAAAGCTTAGAAAATAGTTCCCGAAGCCTCACGCGGCTTCTTTATTGACACTCTATATTTCAAACTTCGCTCCTTCACTGAGATCTGGGACTTTCCACGTTCCTCTCAACCTCGTTTCCGCTCCAGACACCTCATGGAATCCACGGGGAACCGTCAACATAAACAGCGAAGGCGAAGCCGCATTCCGGTCGGCGAACTTTAGCTTCGTATGAGAAAAAAAGTTTGCGCTGCCTTCGAATATCGGCTTCATTTTCCCTTCCATGTTCGCCCGCGAGAACGAGGGCTGAACGCGCGGAGCTTCAGGGAATTTGAATCCATGCAATCAAAGAACAATATTTGTCTAGTCCCGTCAGCTGAATGAAACCCTGGTAGATGGTACTAGACCGAATGAAAAATCTCCGATCCCAGGATGGATCCGAAACCCGGAAACTTCCATTCATCTCAGAGCCGACCCTATTGCGAGGGGGGGGGAAGAATTCCTCTTAGAGATCGTAGACCAGACTTCGAATCGATACCATGGTTTCCGTCGAGCTCATCTAGCGTGCCGATCTCGGACTCGGGAATCTTGTTCGCTCATTTTTTCTGCAGGAGCTCTAGAAGACAATTCCATCGACGTCTTCCAGAATCGAAGCTTCACAGCTTTGCCTTCTGGAAAGCGTACAACGAGACAATTGTTCATTCCGCAGATATCCCTGCTCCCGGTGCCACCCTGGACCGGCAGGTCAAAGAAAATCGACCACCTGAGAAATGGAATATCGAGCCAGACTTCGATGGGAATCGTTTCCTTCCAGCTCATTACGTGTCCAACGCTACAGATGACGCTGCAGGGAGTGTCGAAAATCGAGCAGGCGGATTCCGTTTCGCTCCAAAAGGGCCGAGAAGAGTAATGGTCGCCTCTAGTGTTGGGAAACTCTTGCAGTTTATTCTTGAATTTCCGTATGAAATCGTATTCTAAAAGTGGGTTTGTGAAATATTCACTCGTATTCTCTCATATACAAGGGTAAATATTGCACTCGTCCATTGTCTCTTTATCAGCAATCTTAAAACCTATGAAAAATTTGTATCATGTACGGGGGAATTCTGGCACCCTTCTCTGCCACCTCTCTCGTGGCTCTTGAGATTCCCCGGTCTTGAATTGCACATGGCAGGTCATTCACACGCGATCATTCTTATTGAACACGAGTATTTTCCCTGTAATTTCTTCTACCTATGAAGAGACAAGATCTGTTTCGCGGCTAAGTTTCGCTCGTCAGGTAATTTGTTCAGCGGGTTCCGAGGTAGCTTCGAATATTCTTCCGCCGAGCGATCATTTTCACACTATCCGCTGTAGCTCCCAATAGATGCTTCTGGATGGATGGCGTTCCACGTAATGTTCGCTTTTAGTCTTCATTTCGAGCCTCGGGTAGGCATAAGTCCCGGGCTTCACGCCGTCTCGCCCGCCTGCTTTCTCGACGGTGACGAGAATGCTTGGAAATCGATTGTGGTTGTCCGAGGAACACCTTTTGGCTTCGCGAAGATCGGGCGCCCGATCTGGGGGCTAGCAGCCGGGTTGACTCTGACGCCAATCTTCGGACTACACAGTAGCCTCGGATTATTTGACCGGGACAAATTAGGCGAAAGTCCGGGGATCCGATCGAAACCTGTCTCGAGACGGGGTATCTGAGGTAGTTGAGGAATTTGACTCGTTTGATCCAGTTGGTGAGCTACGGTACGGCTCAGGCGAGGGGTGCGTGGACTCATTTGAGGGTTCCGCGAGCGTAAATCTTTCAGGGGAGAACAATGCAACATGTTCGGGGCCAGACGGGGACTTTGGTGCGGGACTCCTCTCGGAGGCTGTGGGGGAAATTGAGGTGAGTGCTCGTAGAAGAGACATCGAATGCTCCCGTCATGCCTATCTAATTCTGTACTATGCAAACTTTCTTTCTCTTCCCCTTCCTCGTCCTGCCTAAGCATTGTGCTTTCGCTCGATCAGCATGATCAACCTATATTATACCTACTTAGACGATAACCTACTTGGTGGAGCGGTAATCTGGTGTCGTTTGCTTGAACAAAGTGTCCTGTCGGAACTTGTTGTCTCGAAATGTTTTGAGCGGGAGGGCCCTGCAAATCATGATGTCTCAGGAAGTGGCGCTGCCTCATCTGAGGACTGCTGAGTAAAATATTGCGGTTCATGTTGAGCTCTGATCCCATGTTTTCCAGCGTACGCATCAGCAAGAACTGCTTGAACTGCAGAAGTTCTCGGTGCAGCAGGAAGTTCTCCTGAAAGAGGAAATCTCGATGGTGAGGTCGTCGACGGTCCATCCGGAGCGGGGGAGAAGTCAGCCCACAGGAAACCGAGGCGATTCGTGGAGATTGTTGCTTCTCCTCGATCGGGATATCGAGTTTTTGAATCTTGGTTCTCGGTTCATATTTTACTTCCCCAGAATGAGGGTCATCGCCTCAAAGGATTACCTGCTGTCTCATCTGACGCTCTACAGTTTTTTGGGGCCGACTCCAATCATCGCCCATCCCCGGAGTCTTGAGAGGAGAGGGATTTCTGAGGCAGCCCGTGAGTCCAGTTTTCCCGGGAAGTCCAGACGTATACGGGAACTTCAAGTGAGAAACATAAGTTCAGTTCGGGGTATGAATTTTAAGATTCATTTACGTCCAAAGAAATCAGCTCTCTCGCTCAAAGTAGTACCTGTACTTGACTGCTACGTCGGCCCGGAATGAGCTGCCGGAGGTCATTCGTCTTGCCGAAGATATCCCGGCCGTCATTAGCACAGACTGCGGACGAGTGGCTAATCTTGCGGTTCTCGTGGCTGGACCTCTTACGGACTGAGGGCATATCACTGTTGCCGCTCTCCGTCTGGTAATCGTCAGAGAACGCTTCGTCCTGGTCGAGGAAGGGAGTTCGGAACAGAATTGAGAAGGATTCCATGGAGCGGATTAGTTGGATTATCTCGTTCGAGGGGGAAAACTCGGGACCTTACGTCGACGCATCCAACCCACCTCGGACGAAGTGAAGTCTGGTGTGTCTCCTCCATACTGGTTCATGAAGTAACTTTTTCTGTAAGTCCGGGCACTCTCTGGCCGCCTCTGGAAACATCTGTTGAGATTCCCTGCCGTAGATATATGTGTGCCGGACGGATATCTGGAAACGCGAATGGAACACGAAACTCGTAGCGCTATCTTCATGAAACGCGTGACTCCACGGATCGTCGGCCAACCTTCCGCCACGATTCAGTGCGCGGGACCCACCGGTATAGGACGCGTCCACCCGAAGCTTTCTGAGCGCTCGGAATCCGTTCCTCGAGCGGAAAAACGTTCTGGTACAGTTGGCTCGCGTTTATCGCCGACGCTTTCTTCGTCAGAGACGTCGTCGACGATGCAGAATCCGCGTAGTACCTGGATCGAGTCGGACCCATGAATTCGACTCCATGGAGAGATTCGTAGCAGATAGACTTGTCATCCATCGGCACAGGCAGATTCTTCGTCTTGAAGGCGAAGAATCCGACTCCACGTATGGAAGCTCAAAAATCGACTCACCAATCGTGGCTGGCGTTGTCTCGCGGAGTTTGCCCTTCCTGAGAATGGGTCAGGCGCCCGGATCTGTCGCTCGAAGTGGCTGTCCAGGCGCCCGAATCTCCTGAGGTCGACGATGAGCAGCAGGGACTCTGAGGCGATGAGACGAACCACGGATTGGTTTTGATACGACTCCGTTCTCTCGGTGTCTCCTGAGAACGAAAATCCGACATGAGAGGGAGGAACGCCATCTCTCGAAACCTGAGCCGTGATGTTTTTCCTCTTCGAGCGGAAGATGGAAAACGGGGTCGGACAAGGCGAGATTTGACATTTTCAACTCAAATTCCAGTTATACTTCACAAAAAGAGGGCAGATCTCCGCAAGGTACTCAGGCGCGTCCGCAGGAAGGGCTCGCACTCCCCTGGTAGGATCCATTCAAACATAGACATGGTCCTCGCGAATCCGATCCAGCGATAGCCCGCCCTTGCAGCAACTTACCGCATTGTGTTGTGCTTGGCTGGCTGCATCGCCGACTGCTGACTGAGCAGTCTGTCCGATACAGCGGATGTGTTGTAAAGGTATGCGATTGGCGATCGATGGAGGTGCTGGTGGCGGAGGTGTGTCCGGAATCTCGGAGTAGACTTCACCTTCGCCTAACTGGCTGTCTACGAACGCGCTCCGGTCGGAAGCAGGTTCGAGACCAATGTTGCAGTGATAGTTACCCTGAAAGGGAACGAGACAGGAGGTTTAATCACTTTCTTCCCCGGATGAGGGAGTCTGGACTAATGACCGGGACGACGATTTCGGTTTGTTGAGTCGCCGCTTCAGAAATCATTCCTCAACCCCAGTGGCTCACCTTGAAACCATTCTCGACCAGCGTGACCGTCTGCTCTCGAGCCGAGTATAGAGGACCAAGCAAGGATTCTACAGCGGACGTGGTCTGCTCTCTGACCGAATTCTGCAGCTCGTTCTCCTGTAAATATTTTCGAGGATTAGGGACAGCGAGTCGAAACCTCTTAATGTCACAGGGAAATGTCCCGCCGGAGGTTTTGCGTCAGAAATCGTATCTAATCGATCCCTGTAGACAAGGGGTTGAAGGCCGAATACCTCCGTCCGATCATGACATTGTGACCTCTGACAAGGCCCAAGAGTCGACGGAAAAATTGATCAGCTCCCCGGTCGATTTACCCCCATGGGGGTCGAGCGTAAGCATCGCTCCTCCCATTCCAATGGAAGATGCCGCCAGGAGCGTTGTGAAGGTCCAGTTACGTTGTTGCAAAACGGTCGAAATCGAATTACCTGTAATTTGACGATTGAGCCCGCATCGTCGTAACCCCGTTGTAACTTTCTGTTCTTCTTGCTTTGTTTTCCTTTTTCTTTGTCCTCTTTGTCTTTCTTGCGCCCCCCTCGTATGTGCTGCTCCATCCATCGGATGAGCTTCATTTTCCACCGTGGGAGTTGTCGTCAGCAGTCCGCGGGTTTTCTGAAAAGAAGTTCGTCGTGAGCGTACTCTCGACTCAGCAGTTCGGCGTTGCAGCACTCCTGACTCAGGCTCAGGTGCCCTCCTCTTCAGTCTCATAAGCCGAGGGCTCCTGTTTACAAGGTGAAATTGAGAACGGAGGGGGAATCTAATTTCAACGCCATCCCTATCCCGGGGCCCAGGCAATCCTAGCGCCCCCGTTGTGAAATTTGCTGGGTGGAAGTTTTCATCGAAAGAGATCATGCATGAATTATTTCCGATCACGGAAGAGGAGTTCGAGGAGAAGGAACGCTCTTGGAGTGCGTGATCGATGTCGAAACACCGAGCGAAGGCCTGGTCATTGTGTCAGCAGGAATGTCATCGATGTCCGGCGAGAAAGAATGTCATAAGCACAGCAACTTTTCCGCTCGTACACCTCTCGTGATATTTTACAAAGCTTTGAAACATGTTTTCACGAACCAGCCATTGTTGCATTTCTGGATGATGTCACCGCAAAGGGACAGGATACTCATGACGTCACACAAGACAGCGAGCGCAAGAGGCATCCGAGAGTGTAGTCTGTATAGGTATCTGTGTAGTCTCCATGGCCCGGGATCAGCCGCTCTAAATATTCTCATGCGCGGGTGTAGATCAGACGGGTAAACATTTCAGAGATAGCCGCTCTTCTCAAGGCGAGCGTGACATTTCTCATCGACAGCGCTGGCTGCTTCCGAGTTGGCCGAGTCTTCAGTGAACGGGAGAGTGAGATTTTGTTGCTCGACACTTGGTCGAACGGGACCGCAAATCATGGAACCTATACGAATACTCGCTCGAGTGTGTTCCCCACGGCGGAGCCAATAGAAAAAGGCTGCTTCGCTAAGCTAGTTCTTGAAGTGGCTTCTCGTTTCACGGTAGCGTCGCCCAAGGTCGTCGCGGAAGACAGACAGTTTGAAAGCTCCTTCATCTCCGGCAAAAAAACATCGCGGTAGTTCTCGTTATCAGCAAGATTTCTAGATTGCCCTTGTGACGGGCGTGATTCTTTATTGCGCAGCGGATCTTCACCAACCGCATCCAGCCACTCGAATAGACGCCCTTAATACATGATTTCCAGAGCTGTTTCGATCCCTGTCCGTCAGATCAGCCATCACTCGGCATAAATCCACCACGAGGGCTACAGTCCTGGATCCCATAGGAGATAGGGATTCAAGCTCGCACACTCTGATTCTGCACGAGATTATGAATCATGAATGAAGTTGACACTCTCGCGACCGCTTTCCGAAGCCCTATCGGTACGATGAAGGATCGCGCGTAAGCGACTCTTTTGCTCGCCAAGCATCACAACACTCCACAGTTTCGTGTCCCTCCGCTTCCAGTCGATCCAAACACAAACTCCCGTGAGTTTCTCTACTCGAATTCAAGATGACACGCACAGCCTGATTCCAGAAGAAAAGCACCGACTTCTGGTTTTCCCGTCCTTTCTTCCCGAGTGAGAAGGTGCTTCGTGGTGTAAACTTGTCGGCAGACGGATCGGTATCCGCGCGAAGGAAAAACGTTCGAACATTCACTTCCTGGAGACTGACACCTTTCGATATGAGAGTATTGCGCGAAATCAGCGGTGTTGAGGATCTTCCGGAACACGTTGGTATCCGCTGTCATTGCAGCCGTCGGTCGGATCCGGAACTTGTGAATCGTACACACCGCTCCGTCTTGAGAGAAAACAGTCCGGCGGCTTTCGAGGCCTGCAGGTCCCGAATTTATTTGGTTGAAAACTTTTATCGAATCCCAGTGCTCGGTAACTGAATGAACGACGGCCGGATCGTCCAGACCGCCTTCACAATAATTCGTATCATTCGAGCATGGGGATGTCTTGTTCGCTAGCGGTAGGGACCGCTTCCCAACGGCACTTCCCAAATCGAAACTAAACTGAGAGAATGAACTGTTTATTAGTAAACTCAAAGCCACAGGGAGGAACATTCTTCGATTGGAGCTCCGATGATAACCGAGATTTCGGTGGACACAGGCCAGCTGGCTGACTGACTGACTGACTGACTGAGCTAGGGAACGACTGTGTCTTCCATCCGCGGCAGAAACGCTCAACTGAGCCGATGCACAGCTAAGCAGCGGAAAGGGTGCGGAAAGGAGGTATGGAGGATGGAATGATTCTCCACAAGACAATGATTCTGGTCAGTGCTTGTAAGTAAGCTACTCGTGCTAGCGAATCCTCCCGGGTGGAGAACGTCGTCTCCGATCGGAGAAGTGATATCCTGAGATTCACCGATTTTTCGAGTTGACCGAAAGAATTGCCCTCGGTATTTCACTTCCGGGACATTGAGGGACCCCGCAGGCTCCTTTCTCAGACTGCCGCATCATTCGTGGGACGAGGCCGTCCGAGCTCCCGAGCAGAAGAATCGGAAGGCAAACGCCCGGACACAATCCGGGAGCCGAGGCGTTTGATACCGTTGACATTGTGGCGCTTCAGTTTGTTATGGACGTTGTGGTCACGCTACCTCTGTCGGAGCCGCCATGTTGTATTATGGAAACGCTCCGCTCATATCTATGGGGGCATTTTCAGTCGAACAGTTGAAGAACACCAGAACTAGAAGCGGGAGTCGAATCTCTCGACGAGCTATATCCATACTCTAGGTACAATGCCGGCCAATGCACATCTCGTTGGATAAAGCGCTGGAGTCTCCGGATCCGTGTGGAGAAAAACATCCGCGCTCAATGTCTCAGTCTGTTTCCCAAAGATGAGCGAGAATCTCCCGCATTTTCTGAGCTCAGGGAGCGAATTCGCCGCTGGACATGGACAACCATAAGAAATTTCAAGAGCACCTGCCGGAACAGAGAGCACGCGAGCGAGACTCGAGCGTTCTTCTCGCGACGGCGAACCATACAGCTCAACGCCGAAAATCCTTACGATTTCCCGGAGCCCAGCCGCTGACGGTCGCCTACTGCGGGCAGGCTACTCACGAGCGCGTCTCACCACTCAATTTGCGATGCGGACGCCAATCCATCGATTTCATCGGTATAGAACACGACGGAATGACTTTCCGACGGACGACAGCGTTGATTCTACGACGTTAGTACGGCTACGAGGGTAATTCCACTCACCAGGATTAGAAGTTTGCAACAAAGCTCACAATCGATAAACCATGGTTAGGACATCGGCGGAACGGATACCGGAACGTGATGTTACGAAACCAAGTCCAACGCCGAGAGTTATCCGAGAGCTGCTGGGGTCGTTGGCTTGGCCGCTTGGTGACGAGTCGCAGGGAGAAAGCTCACCAAACTCCAAGACTCATAGGCGCATGCGCCGAACTCCCCACCACTTCGAGCACGATGCTCCCCGCCAAGAATCTCCGAAAATCGGCAAGCGACTCGATGCCAGCCTATGGTCGTTTCGAAAATCCGGAACTCCCCGATAGAATCATTGTTGAGTTTCCCCATGGATTGGCATCCGAGCGCCAAAAACGCTCCGACGCGGTGCGCTCGGAGAGAACTCAGGCACATGTACAGGCATACTCGACAGACTTCGGAGAGAAAACTTCCACTGGATGCGATGGAAAGCCTATGATGAAAAACGGATTACATGTGAATGGTCTGATCATCGCCATGCCGTCGAAGGCAACCATCGCAATCATTGCGGTGAGGTGACGAATGGGCGAGCTCCCGAATCTAGCTGCGAAGATGGCGCCTTCAAGATTCCTCTCTGGGGAAAAGTCACCTTTTCGAAGTCGCGCGGTCTCTCTTTTCATTGTTCCGCTCTGGTGGTATCCCTTGAGCTCCTGTCAAGTATGAGCGATTCGTGGATCGATAGCCCATCGGAAGATTTTGATTACAGTGACCTTCTGAAGTTACGGCCAATCATCAAATAATCGATGTCTCGGACCACCTCTGTCTGGAATCACTATATTTCGATGAATGATGTCGATGCTGCTATAATTTCGTGAATTTCCGAGTCGGCGAGTATAGTCAAGTGCGGTCCGACGCACAACCCCGAGCACGAAGCGGCCTTTCGAAATCGCGCGCGCTCAGGAGTCACGAGCTTCGGCAATCGCGCTTCACTTTCTCGAGGGAGAGAGTCTCCAGGGGATTCTGCTGGCAGCGAGGGCTCCGCATTCCACCAGCGAGGTGGGTGAGGGGCACACCTCGGAATCGCGGTCTCTGACTCTGATTCTTTTACATATCTTATGGGAAGTCTAAGTGTATCTCTCTCGGGAATCGGGAACGACTCCCTATAGTATGACGGTCGTTCAGCTCTCTCAGTAGACTCATGTCCGCCTGACGTGATGAGCTGCACAACATGGTAGGGTTGAAAACTCGTGATGATCCGTGTAGGCTCCTTCGAAGGAGGCCGCGAGGCCCTCCCTGGAAAACTTCTCGACGACCCTCCGATATGCATCTCCTCTCGACGAGGGGCCCGACACATCTCGGGGCCCATCAGGGGTAGGAGCTCCCTTCTATGAAGTATAGCTCGGATTAATGGTCGCTATGGCTCCTCGATATATTCCGTTATGTTCTCCTCCTCCCCGTGATTTCGACCCGACGGGGTCGGGATCCTATCCTTTGGAGAACTGAGGGGAAGACAGGGAGAAATTATACATAGTGTACAACTCCATCCGCTCTTCGTTTTCCGGGGAATGTCATCAATACCTATGGAAGTTTTATGTTTCCTCGGGGATTCTCGAGCGGAGAAGTTCATCGAAATCCGACCTTCAAAGTGGGATTAATTCGATTGCAGCATACCCATGTAGGCGTTCCCCACGCCCGCACTGTTGCGGATACGATAAATAAGAAATGGCCGATATTCAAGAAATCCAAGGATGGCGCAACTATTCAAGCACACCATGCGCCCTGGACGAGAACGCACACTCCGTAGACAAGCAGGATTGGATCACAAGAGCATGAGTGGACTCGGGGGACGAAAGGAGTAGACGCGGTCACGGGTCAGGCATTGTACAGATTCGAACTTCGATGAGAATAT